TAATCCGGGACATGGGATCTTCCTCGATCGGACAAAGGTGTTCCCATCAGAAAAAATAGACAAAGGACCCTTGGAAACGCGAACCGAGCCATGCGCCGGATTAATCTACACGGCCTAACTCTCCAACACCTCTTGTCGGGCTCATTCTCACCTCATCCGTCCATCGGCACCTCATCCTCTCAATCTTTGCCCCGCCTTACTACTGCATACCACTGCATGCCTCACGTCCCTCCCCAGCTCGCCTAATATTCCGTCAGTTCTAGGTATGCTGCAGACAGACTGCTGCATCATACTCGTCATCCACAATGGAAGGTCCCGGTGCTCATGACCACCACCAATACGCTACAGACGAGATCATCTACTTGCCCAGTCCTGGTTGGTCAATGCCGGAGCCAGAACTACAGAAGCAAGCCGCCATTGTGAGTCTGCATTTGATCTTCTGCCCATCATCAAATTCCGTATCTGAACTATACCATGCCGCTGGGCAGGATGCTGGGAGACGTGGGACACGAGTGTGGACCGTCTGGGAATGGGTATCCATCTTCTACACTCTGGAGCACCATGGCACTATGCCTACCTACTCACCCCAACACTTTACATAAACGTCACATGAGCTGAGGGATGCATTGAGGTGGGCAAAGCAAGAAGGACCCTGTGGACCATCTCCGCATCTCGGTGCGGGGATCCAACAGCTCTCGCAGCTCAAGCTGATGATCTGCATCAAGGGTCTACCCGGCACGGCACTTTCAGTCCTACAGTCACTGGACTGGTCGTCTCTTACACACTCAGGGCCTGTCAGCTATTTACCTACCTACCACAATAGGCCCTGATACCATTTGCATGTTCACAGACCTGTCCATTTCTCGTGGAAGCGATCCTTGCCGGAACTCGTCTCAATTATAATGTTCAAGCACACTCACTTCTTATAGCCACTACGGCCAATCACCGCGGAGCCTCGCCCGCGCCGCCTAGACTTTTTCAATCTCCCTTACGAGCTCCGCCTAGACATCTACGAGCTCCTGCTCCTCAACCCGGAGCCCATTATCGTGTCGAGCAGCCGCCGCCAGCTCCATGTCAAAGTTGAGCCGCCGGAGCACCAAATCGCCTACCTACGTGCCCCCCGTCCGAGACCTCGCGTCGTGTCCCTCACCCATAGGAAACCCCACGTCGAGATTCTACAGACATGCAGGCAGATCGAACAAGAAGCCACCCCGATTCTCTATGGCCGCAATGACTTCGTTGTCGGACTGAGGCTGCGCGCGACGCAGAGCCACCGGATGGACCCCTTTATCCAGTATCTGCGTCTATCGACATTACTTCAGCTACGCTCGGTTACTTTTCGGCCGGGCTGTTGTTGTGACCAGTGGCTCAAATCTCTTGGAAGCGGTCAGAATGCCGCAAGCATGCTGAGCTGCATGCAGAACAACGAGCAGAGAGATCACCAGCAAGTATTTTGGGGCATCGAGACAGCCCTGTGGCAGAGTGCGTATCCCCTCTTTGCTTAGGACAGCATTGGGATGCTAACGTCAAGTGAATTTAGATGTTGTCGGCAAGAGCAGAGTTTGTGCCTTTTGCCATACCACTACTGGGGAACGAATGTTCATATAAATCGCACAAAGTATGTCCACAGAGGCTGGCCCTCAAATTGTACTGGTATTGAGGACTTGATGAGTCGAAACGGGATGGTAATATGATCATGAAGTGCTCCTATCACTCGATCCGGCCCCAGAAGAATAATCGGGAACATCAGTGTTCTGTTGCGCTGTAACTATTATAATAATACTCTTCAATATTTCTTGTGATAGCTTCGCTATCGGCTATTTGGCGTATATTATTACACATCTTTACAGGTCCTTCTTGAATGCATGCTCCGGTTTGTGTGTAGTCTCGTAGTCGATATGTACGTAGGCCCGCTCCACATCCGGTAAACTTTCCAACTTGACTTGCAGCGCCTCTGCCACATCGTGCGTCTGGGCAAGTGTATTGGCGGGGTCCATGACGACGTCCACCTCGGCGATGAGCCGTGGGCCCGAGTGATAGACACGCACCGTATCGATACCCTGGATGGCAGGGGAGTGCGTCAAACAGACATAGGTGATGAGCTGCTGGGTCTCGATCGAGGCGGTCACACCCACGAGTAGCAAAAATTCGGCGATGGCGGTTCGCAACCAGATGCCGGATACGATCAGTGACAATATTATGGCACCAGTTGGGTCGATATACCACTTAAGTTTTGAACCGCCAACAGACGTGAGGATACCGAAGCCGTTCACCAGCAAGTCGTTGCGATGGTCGGACCAGAGGATGCGAACCTGGGAGTATCGGTTTCGCAGGGAAAAGCAGTACAGGAAGAGCACAAACTTGGTTGCGAAAGCGCAACAGACGGCAACGATTGGCTCAATGCGGAAAGCCTTTGTCTCATTGGCCGACTCCCTCTCAGTAGCCAGTTCGCGCGCAGCAAAGGCGATGATGATGAGTGAGACCGAGATCATGAGGAAGCAGAAGACAATGTTCCCGACAGTCTCGAGGCGGGCTTTGCCGGCGGGGAAGCGGCGCGGGTTCACCCTCTTGATCGCGCGGCCGGCCAGGATAAGGGTCAAGTTGCTCATGGGGTCAAAGATGGCGTCGGCCATTGTGGTGATGAGCGACAGGGAGCCGGTGCTGATAGCAGCGTACAGCTGTAGAGCTGTGAGGAGGATGTTTGCGGCAAAGGAGCCCCAGACAGCGATCCGGAACTGCAGCTGGTCGTCACCGGCTTCCTGGCGGGCCTCGGCGACATGCTCGTCGACGGACTTTAGCATGCGCTCGATGGCAGCGTTCTGCGTTTCGTAGAACTTCTGGACCTTGTGGCCCTGACGCCAGGAGCCGTTTGGCGAAGTTCTACCGCTGGGTTTGTCGGTGGCGGGTTGACTGTCCCGTTTGCGCGAGGTGTTGGCTCTGATCTGGGCGAGGTCCTCTGGCGTCTTGAAGGCCGCGGAGAGACCATAAGGGTCCGAATCGGATCGCAAATGGGGCTGGCCCTCGACATCGGTGGCGGCGGAAGAGTGTCGGGCGATGGGCTCGTGTTTCTCATGGTTCGAGGCGGGATGATGAGGTGCGGCCTCTATGGCCGTACTAGAGGCGTTGGCTGCGGCATCCTCGCTGGAGAGTTGCATCGAGCCTCTGCGGGAGGTGTTTGCTAGATGGGAAGGCGTGTGCAGGCGGAAGGGGTGCGGGTGCATGGTGATGCTCATGGAGAGATCGGGCTCCATGGCGGCAGCGGGCGTCAGATTTATGAACCGTAAGTTATTCGCAGTAAAGGATACAGTTTGATAATATGACGTTGCCAGATCCCCTGTTTCCAGTGTATCGATATAAGCCAGGCCGACGGGCTGTGAGATAAGAGGAAGGGTGGCGAAGGAAGCGGATGGAGGGTGATGCAGAATGGAAATTCGGCGTCTGGGTCATGTCGCCTATGGTATTTCAAAGAGCTTCGGAACCTGTGTCGTTACCCGACAAACAAAGCCCACACCTTCTCTCCCCTCTCAAAGCGGTCTTTCGGGAAAGACACCATGTTTGGTACAGAGTATTGCAAAACTGCTGGGGGGCAGGATCGCTGCAGGATGTGCGGGGATAGCGGGTGCAACGGGATGCGTTGTCGTCGAGCTGCTGCCGTGTGAGGTGCGCTTCTTTCCCGCTGGCGTTGGCGTCTCTTGCTTATTCTGCTGTGTCGTTGATTAGCTCGCCAAAAGTGCCGGGGAGGTGGAGGTTAGACATGGAAAGAGAGAACATGTTCATGAGGTAAAATGATTGTGGGCCAATCATTTGCCCACGGGGAAGAGGAGACAAACTGTCGTCTTGAGCGACGCGATTGAGGTGCTGGATAGGTCTAGACTTAGTTGCATTAGCATATTGTAGGCTTGAAATGATAGAATGACATTGCATAACGAAAGAGAAAATCGGTGGACTTGCCCTTTGAATAAGTGAGAAACTGCCTTCGCTTCATCTTGAGGCTGTCAGCGACCAATGTTGCAGGGAAAGCATGGGGACAGAGTACGTGACGCCCAACCAAATAGCTCATTGTTGAAGCGCTGGATAATGTGGTGGACACAATCTCTGTGTTGGACGCCACGCCAGACAGTGCAATGCTTCGGTCCTGTACCAGAGCTGACAGAGCCGGAAAGTTGGGCGATCTCGATGACTTCATCGGACTCATTCTCGTTCTCTTCCTGGGACTCTCGAGCAAACTTTCGAGACCAATAAAGAGACTTGAAAGCAGATAATAGAAGCAATTTTCTTTGTGGTACTTCCAATCAATAGGGAGAGAATGAGAGCGGACTCTGACGGTCAGCTCTTAATACCTAGAGACAAGTGGGGAACTGCTGCACTGTCGCATACGCTGCGGAAGCGGTGGCCCAGAGAGCCCCCTTCACGATCCGTAGATGAATAAGGTACAGAAATGAATGGGATGAAGTTAAAATCCCGGGGATGCGGGTCGACTTTATGTTTCGAAACAAGCCGTTACCTTGAGGGCCCCCCGGAGACCGAGACCTGCCGGAGAACTGGGCCGCCATTGGACTCGGGTCCCCCGTTTCTCATGTGCTTCGGGCACAACCGGAACCGGGCCACATTCCACCCGCTCGGTAACCTTGGCATCGATGTACAAACGTACCCTAGGTACCTTAACAGGCTTGTGAAGATGAACACCAAAGGAATGATCTGATGGAGAATCAATCCATGGGTCGGAAATCTTGCTAACTGAGAGTAGAAAGGGCGAATACCTCGAATAATATTAATATACTGCTAAAAAGGAACTTATACATTGATCCCACGAAGAAACGGCAACGACCATGCCAACGGCATTCTCTTAGCTCTGGTGTACCATAGGGATTGGCGTGGGGGCAGGTATTACCTGGGCCTTTCTAAGCACAGCTATACACCACAACCAGGAAGTCAAGACACAAGTACCGGCCCCATGGATCATAAGCGGAGGAAGAGATGTCGTGGGCCCGTCCAGTCTCCTACAACTTGGACTCAGGCTTCGCCGCCGCAGGTTCTCCAGCCCTCTCGAGGATCCAATCCCCAACGTCCTTGAAGAACTCGTCCTTGCACAGGTCCGCGTGCAGCTGATGATACGCCCCCTCGTACGGCTTATGATGCCCGTCCTCGATCGTCGTCTGCGCGCCGAACCACTTCTTGCTGGCGTTGAAGCACGTCGTCTTGTCCTCGGTGCCGTGACCAAGCCAGAGACTCTTGACATTGCCGCTCAGCGTCAGCTTGTTCTGCGCCAGCTGGTCCGTCCGCTCCAGCATGCCCGCCAACCCCTCGAGCGTGCCCGTGTTGTGCATGAGGTCGTCGTCGCGGATGCTTTGCTGCGCCGCCTTGTCGCGCGTGAGGTGCTCGGCGGGGATCTCGTTGACGAGCTGCTGCTTGGGCAGGACCTTACTCGCGAGCTTGCCGAAGAAGACCTTTAGGAAACTCGGCTCCTCGCCGGGCGTGAAGGCAATAAAGGGGCTCTCGAGAAGCCAGCCGCGCACCTGACCGACGAGGTCGTGGTACTGTGGGTCGCTGGCCAGGGCGAGGACCTGGCCGCCGCCCATGGAGTGGCCCATGACGAAGAGCGGCGCGTCCGGAGGAGGCGACGGGAGCTTGGATTTGATAAAGGCGGCCACGTCGGCAAGGACGCGCGACGTCGGGCCCGTGAGGCCCCGATCGGACTTGGTCGCGGCGCTGCGGCCCCATCCGCGCTGATCCCAGCTGAAGACCTGTATGCCGCGGCCGGCGAGGTTGGGGAAGAGCTCGTCGTACCGCCCCACGTGGTCGCTGAAGCCGTGTACGAAGACGAGCTTGGCCTTGATAGGGCCCTCGGGCTGATGGTGCAGCGTCAGCTATGCCCGGGTGATTATCCTCCATCATGGGATAAACCAAGGGGAGTGAGGGAGTAAATGAGGTGAGTCTTCACTTACCGTCCATGTTGTGCTGTGAAGTTTATGGCCGTCCACCTCAAAGGTGCCCTCGGTCTGCGTGGCCATGATGACGACGATGATCCTCTGAAATCGGTTGACGGTTTAGATGCAAGCCGATATGGCTGTAAATACATGTATATAGCGGAACCCTCACGATGAACCACGGGTTATGAGAAGTGATGAGGTGAGATGAAATTCACGTGTTATTGTTGGGGTTCGGATTCAAGACATCCAAGGTGCGTGGTGGTGGTGGTGGTGGCGCTGTGGCCATGGCACTCAAAGAGCTGAGCTCCGCTTGCAGACATGGGGAGCTCGGAGCTTACTGTAAACTCCAACTTCTCCAATGGAAGCTTCCGGTTCCCGTCCGTTTTTGGCCCAGCGACACAGGTACTTGCACGCCGACCTGCCGTTTGGAACGGCATCGGCTTGAACAATGAAGAGTTCTAAACTAGACTTTTCTAGCTTCCAAGGTGTCAAGAGCTGTGCTACTCGAGATAGACAATTAGAGGATCTCGTACTATGATTCTGGCAACTCGAAGAGTACCTCATATATCATATTCACATCCTGTCTCCTGGCGATTAAACGCATTCAAAGTATTAGATTTGGAGCACTCCCGACGTCCATCAAGATCGAGCGGAGTTATTCTATGATGCTGTGTAACCGATGGATAGTTTGTAGTACACAAGACGGCAGCACGGTGTGAGCTGCGCCATGGCAGGAAGTGATTCGCCGTTGCTGCCGAACCGCTGCTTCATATTTGAGCAGCCTTTTTGATATAAAACACGAGAAAATCACACATTTACCCACTTTAAAGCAATCCTACTCTTGTCCGAAGACCAAGCGGATTACGCTTTTTTACCGCCGTGTCTCCTTCTCCCTCGTCTCCTCCTGCAGCTGCTCCTCAACCTCCTCTTCACCCTCCTCCCGCTCTAGGTCAGATTCGATTTCTTCCTCTTCTGTGATATGAGCCCTATCGCTAGAGCGAGGGTCGGGAACATCGCCGCCGCTCATTTGCCACTCCATGAGCTTGCTAAAGGCGCTGTCCTTGTCGGCAGAGAGCTCCGTGTACTTGCCAATCTCGGCAACTCCGCCGTTGTTGGAAAGAACAATGATCAGGTCAGACCGCTTAATAGTTGACAGTCTGTGAGCAATAGAAATGGTCGTGTTTCTGCCTCTGAGAAGCGAGGTCAGGGCGGCGTTGACAAGCGTCTCAGACTCAGCGTCCAAGGCAGATGTGGCCTCGTCAAGAATAAGGATATCGGGGTCCTTGATCAATGCTCGCGCGATGGCGATGCGCTGCTTCTGACCTCCCGACAGCTGCGAGCCTCTAGCTCCCACCTGCGTGTCCAATCCAGAGGGAAGGTCACTGATAAAGTTACAGTTGGCCTTCCTTGCAGCCGCGATGATTTCAGCTCGGGTGGCATTGGGCTTGCCATAGGAGATGTTGTCAGCAATAGAGCCAGAGAACAAGACAGGTTCCTGCGCAACCATGCCAATGCGGCGTCGCAGTGACTTGACGTTCATTTTGGAAATGTCAACGCCATTGATTGTAACAGAGCCAGAGATTGGATTGTAGAATCGCAACAGCAGGCCGGCAACGGTCGATTTACCACCACCGGAAGGCCCTACAACACAGACATTGCTGCCTGAAGGAATCTCAAAGTTGAGATCGTTGAAAATATTGACAGCAGGCCGTGTAGGGTAGGCGAATGAAACGTTTGAGAACCGAATCGGGCCCTGTGCCGACTTCACCTTGAGCCCGACTGTCTGTGAGATGCCGGGCTTTCGGTCTTGCAGCTCGAAGAGGCGGCTGGCAGCACCCACTCCTTTCATCAGCTCCGAATAGAAAGACGAAAGACCAAACAGACTAGATCCTGCGAAAGCCGTGTACATCATAAAAGATGTCAGGTCTCCTAGCGTCATGGCGCCGTCGCGGACAAAGTTACCGCCGACAACGAGCATGGCAAGGATGGTCATGTTACCAGCCCAGCCCGTCGAGGCGAAGAAAGTGGCAGCGATGGTAGATTCCTTCTTACCCAAGGCAAAAATCTTCTTGACCTGGCGGTTGTAGCGGCCGACTTCTTGGACCTCTCCCACAAATGCCTGGCTCGTTTTCACGTTGCCGAGGCGTTCTTCGGCAATCTTCGTCAAGGTACCGAGATTCTTCTGAATTCCCTTGCTCACATTTCTGATTGCGCGTCCGTAGAAGAAGGCTCCGACTGCGACTGGCGGCAACATGATGAGGAGAAGTCCAGTCAACTTGGGACTAAGCCAAACCATGACACAGAAACCGGCTCCTCCGCTGAAAAGAGCCCGCAGGCCATCGCTGATGTTCTGGGTGATTGACTTGCCGACAATGACAGTATCAGAACTGAGTCGCGAAATGAGGTCTCCAACTCGGTTTGCGTCGAAGAACTCGGCATCCTGGACATATGTTCGTCGATAGAGGGACGATCGCAAACGGGCGACAACTCGTTCGCCAACGATACGCAGGAGAATGACGCGTCCAAAGTTGGCCATGGCTCCAACGGTCAAGATGACACCCAATGCTGTGAAGAACTGCGGCATGGTCAGGCCAAACAGGCGCGCGTCCTCGGCAGGGTCTTTAGTAGCCATGTCGAGGATTCTGCCGACGGAAAACGGGATGGACATGGTGACTCCTGAAGAGATGACGAGGAAGATCATGGCGATTCCCAGCCACCGCAGCTCCGGCCGCGCAATCTTGATCAATCGCCAAATCTCGGAAAATCCGGCCTTGCCGCCTTGCGACTTGCCCTCTTTTGACAACTTGGCACTGAGATTGACCTGGGCAGCCTTAGCAGCCCGCTCGCTCTTTTGGAAGTCATCAGGTTGTTCGGGGTCTCGTGACGTGGTATCGGTCTGGTTCGCGTCCTTGTCACCGTCTCGCGTAGCCGGAGCTGGCGTTGTAGGCTGGGAGTCTCGTTGCTTGGAAAATCCGTTCGAGAAATAGCGCAAGATCGCGATCGGTCCGGGCAGTTGAGGCTTTTGGGAGAGAGGAACGGGTCGTTGTAGCGAAGATCGTTGGATGGCAGCGGAGCGCGCTGTAGATAATGATTGAACGGGCTTCGAACTGAAGCTTCTAATCTGTGACAGGAGAGGATGTTGTAGTACTGGCGGTATCGTCGAGGTATTGCGCAGGCCGGGGAGGGTTGTCATCAGCGATGCCAATGTCGTCGGGCAGCTCCCGGCGCGGTGCGGGAGCAACACCGCGGATCGCACTACTCCCATAGCCATGGTGGAATCGGAAATAGAATTTATCTCATGGGAGGCGCATAGTCAGAAAGCGTTGAAGGAGGGTGCACCATTATACGAAGAAGCTCGACGGGTTGCGCATGAATACAGCTACGACCTAGGTGGTTTTACGAAAGGACCAGAAAGATTCCGTCATCGGTTTGCACTAGAAATTTACAGCGCTCGATGCATAGCCCGTACCCGGAGGAATGCTGACAGTGGACGGCACGCTGCTGCCCGCTACCTGACCTTAGCAGGGCCCCCTCGGTGATAGTCGGCCCGGGAGTGTCTTTTCGCCGACCTGAATGCTCCCGTCACTCCGCAGCAGCCGAGGATCAGAAGGAACAGCACTAATTGGCAACTAAGGTACTTGCGGCAGCAAGGTTGATCAATATGCGGTTCACGCATTCACTCTGGTTCAATTGCACATTATTGCATCACTTCATCATCTTCAAGGAATCAAATCGGCTTAACTAATTGCTTGCCCTGTTTGTGGTGATTCCTGGCCTCTTTGCTTCTTACATACTATAAACACGTGAGCTGGCGATTGGCCTTGTCTCTTCTGATTTCCACCTCAGACCATGTTCCCAAGGATGGCCAGTGCCTAGAGATTGTTTCCTGCTTCGGTTTAGGATTCAGAGTACAACTGTCGAGGTTCCCTCCCATAGTGAGCCCTCGAGTGTTCGATCAATCTTCGTAGCTGGTCGTAAGAACTAGTGACGCCTGCAGCCTGCTCTCTAGTATAATACTACATGCTCCTGTTTGCCCAAAACCTCTCACTGTCGTGTCTGTGGCATAACGAGCAGTTGAAGTGGCGCAGTCTGTAATAAACTGGTTATTCAGGCGCTGCCATTGCTCTCCTTACGCAGCATTTCTGCTACGTCGGCATCGATTCCATCATCACCTCCAAGGTCAGGGAACTCGTCTCCGTCGATTCGGCGTCTCTTCTTCGCACCGTTTGCCGAGACAGGAATAGATTGATACTGTGAAGCAAGGGCTGACAGCATTTCGATGCCTGAAGCTGCTGGAGGCTGGAAACCCTGGCTCGATGCTGAGCGGGCACGATCCTCTTCTGCGTGATGAGGAACAGGCGGCTCGTCGTGGACAGGGGGAGGGGTCAGGGCTTCTACCGACGGCGGTGTAAAGGCCTCCACTGGGGGAGGTGTAAGCGCCTCAACTTCTGGTCTTTCAGGCTCGGGAGTTTTGGATGTTCCGTTGCCAGGGGATTGCGAAGCCTCGTGAGTCGGTAATCCACGCATAATAGCTTGCTCAATCTCACGTCTCTTCTCCTCCGTCTCCGCCTTACGGGACATCAGGTCGGCGTGCTGCCTCTCGTCGTTCGCCAGTGCCTCCTGACTTGCGCTGAGCATCTTCTCCAACTCGCCAATGAGGCCCTTTCGGGCCTTAACGCATTCTGCGACAGCGCCCTCAGCACTCGCCAAACTCTTCAAGAGACCATTAAGTCTTGCCGCGTAGACGGGAGCCGATGGGACGGGTGTCGAGGGGTCGGTAACCTTTTCGAAATCCTGGTTGGCGGTGCTCACAGCCGTCTTAGTGGGCAGGTTGAGCTTCGATACATTGGTATAGGAAGTGACGAGCGGGGTGAGCTCTGCTGGAACGGAAGGACCACCACCGCCAATTCCGGGGCTAGCGAAGTTTGCCTTGGCGGTTCCGCGAGCCTTATCGAGTTCTAAGCATCATCAGTACATGTTGCTGTCGTATGCAGGGAAGATATTTACCATCAATGCCGCGTTCGATGGCCTGTTGAACCGGCGGCTCGAAGATGAAGCGGTCTTTCCAGACGTCAATGACCCTTCTCAGCTTGTTTTGGATCTCAGCCGGCGCTCCCTTGTAGGCTAAAGCCGTTGCCTCAGCGATGACAGGAGAAAAGGCAACAAGGAAGTCGCCCTTGTGTCGAGCCTTTGATTGCTGGGTGACCTCTATGAATGTGTTAGAATCATTCATGTTATATATAGATAAATCCTCATCAGGAAGACAAGATTTTGTAATGCTTGAAGGCTCTTACCATTTGCAAGATAGACCAAGCTTAGTCTCTTGGTGCTTGATGAGTCTCGAAGACGCTGCATCCATAGTGCAACTGTGCGATCTGCATGTCTCCTGTAAAGAGGCCAAAGTCAGTTTGCACTGAAGTGAGAAAGGTATGGGAATCGGAGCTCATTGGCTTGGCTTACTTATGGAACATAATCCATTGTGCAGCAGTTGCAATGCTGTCATGGCTCTCATTCAGGGCCGATAGCTTTGCCAGCACGGCATCGTCGTTGTACGCCATTTGAGTATGGGCCCCCTGGGTGTTGTAGGTATGTAGAAAATGGTCTCTGCGACGGTGTCCGCAATGGCAAGGTGCCCAGTTGCCTTACTTGAAGCAAACACGGTCTGAGGGCGGATGCGTTTCCTTGCTCTTTCCTTTGATTTAAAAGGGAACCCCAGCTGCAATTGAAATTTGGATGGGTAAGGTTGATATGAAGACGACTTAAAGAACTTCTGTCGAAGTAAGAAAACCCTCCGAAATGTAGTGCTCGAAAAGGCTTCAAACGATATTAGACCAGCGAGGTAGTGAGGTCGGCAAAGTAAGGTAGGCCGGAGAATGAAAGGAAGTAATGAAAGAGTGAGTGGGACAGAGTGAGGGAAAGAAGGACAGGAAGGTATTCAATCAGTCAGTCAATGGAATCTCTAGGCCTGAAATCCTAGTAGTAAACACCTGACCTCCCAAAGCTGCTTCCGCAAAGCGTCCAGATCAATGCATCTGGCAGCCCTCCTGCACAGGTGGCCAAACAGTAAGACAGATGGATTGGAGGCCCAGAATTATGGCAATTCTGGTTCGTGAGATGAAATGGTGGACTTCGCTGGTGACGGGAGAGATGGCGATACGGGAGTCAGTTAACGGAGGTCAACCAGAATCAAAACAACGGTGATGGCTCAGACGTGGTCGCTCCTGCTCTCTCTATAGTAATGCATTAAGTAGAGATTCACTTCGCAGTATCCAGTATATGCATTTATCCACATATGTTTTCTCCCTCTAAAACCTCCAGCCACAGGGGGCTGCTCGGACCACATGGGTGACACTTCGAGAGGCGCATTCAACTAACCGATGGGGACAGCTTCAAAGTGGATACCTGTTACTACACACTGCACACGGCAAGCACCGCAAGATATCCCATCCAAGGTAGCCTCCTGTTGTCCCTATCACATATCCAAGGTACCTTACATTCCGTACTTCACCTCAAATTGTTTCTACAAGCCTGCAACCACTATTGCATTCAAGCGCTTCCTGGCAGAGAATTGCGTTATTGACAACCAGGTTATACAGCTTTATTTCTGGGCGGTATTCTATCCCGATCGGTACCTTGGCATCTGATCCCCAGCAGCCACGTCGACAACCTGTCCATCTTTCCTATTCTTCAACAACCCACAAACCAGACATCAAAATGGCCGACAGATTCCCTTCGCTAGAGGATTTTGATTCGGGTGGTAGGTAGTTTCAGCGCAAATGTGTTTTATCAGGCTGACAGATCGCGTGCAGCCCAAACCGACATCAAGGACACCGGCGCCGAACCATCTACCGACGATTTCCTTGCCCGCGAGAAAGCGCTTCTTGGTGACGATGCCGATCAGTTTGCTACCGGCGACGATGCCATCGCCTTTGGAGCGGGCGATGATGATCTCCTTGGAGGTGGAGGTAGCGGAAACGTCATCAGCGAGGAGTCGACATTCGAGTCGCAATTCCCAGACCTTGCCCAGAACGAGGTTCGTCATACCACACTTTTGCCCCACGATCCGTCTAACAGATGAATACACAGGCCGTCAACCCTGGCGAGATTCCCGGCGCTGGTATCACTGCTGCTCCTAGCGTAAACTACAACTCTGGCTACAACGCCTTCGTCGAGGAGGAAGAGGAGCCCGCGGTCATCCGTGAATGGCGCGAGAAGAGAGATGCGCAGAACGAGAAGCGGGCACAGCAATTCGCCCAGCAGCGCGAGGAAACGATCAAGGAAGCTAGAGAGAACATTGACGATTTCTACAACAACTACAATGCCAAGAAGGAGAAGGGTATCGCCCAGACGCAAAAGGACGCTGAGAAGTTCCTTGCCAGCCGTGAGGATACTGTCTCCGGCGGCACGAGCTGGGAGAGAATCGCGAAGCTGGTCGATGTTAGCGGAAAGGGCTCTAAGGGTGGCGCCTCCGGCTCCGGCAAGGAGCGCTTCCGCGAGCTCCTCATCAGTCTGAAGAAGGACGAGAAGGCACCTGGAGCCAGCGGCTACTAGATGCTGCGAACAAGAGATGAATGAGAGGAGCGCTTGTCGCCGTCCAAGAGGGTTGGGTGACGCTCAAGCACTACTAGACTTTGACGTTACTTGCGGTGCCGATGCGCATGTGTATTCTAGATGACCTTTTCTGCCTAATGAATGGAGCGGGAAAAGGTTGGCCATTTGATTATTTTGACAGGCATAGTCAAAAAAGAGAGCTCCCACGATCAACGTCATTACGTTTCTCATTTTTTGTCAACATCTCACTAAGGAAGGATGGCCTAGTGAAGTCCATTTGATCTATTGGTCGCCCTACGAATCATACAGTCCGGTCCCGAGTCTCTCGCTACGGGGTGGTATCCATCGCGAGCAGCGTCTATTCCTTGCCGAAGTAGGTGTTGTAGCCGAGGACCTTGCGGCCCATGCCGTAGAAGGAGGCTGCTGGATGTAAGTCTTCGTTCTAATGAGATTACGAGCAAGTAATAAACATACCACCAAGAGATCCCCACAGCAGGGTAACGTAGGGGATCATGTACCAGCGGGAGCGAGGGTTCTGCGATTATCGAGTCAGCGTCCGCCCGTCGGCGCTGGCGCCAATTGCGCATTTCCAGAGTCAATTCGACATACAATCTTCCAGACACGGGTGTGGTCCTTGTAGGCGGCCTGGTAGAACTTCTGGAGGTCAGGGACCTTGTTCTTCGCGTCGACGATACTGTGTGGACGTCAGAAATGCCCTCGTATGATAATTGTTCTCGACTTCGACATGGACAGCGATTGACGGCGAGAGCGCTCCGTCGACCGCCGGTCGGTCGCTCGTCTCTTAAAAAGGCACGTACCCCATTTTGATCGATTCAATTGCGATTGGCTTCGGTTTGGTGGTGGTTTACAGCTTCGAAGGCTTTCTCGTATGTCGGCTTTGAAGGACGGACGGAGCAATCAGGAAGATGGGCTCATGCCTTGCGTGGGCCGAAAGGCCCCCGACTGACTCAGCAGGACCCGCTTTCCAGGTACAGGCCGACGAATGGCGCTGAGCTCAATTCGGTTGACGGATGGATATTGCCTGGGAACTTTTTGGCCAAGTCTGAACTTCCTCCAAGCTTGCCATAGCTAGATTCCTCCTGCAGATTCAGCCTCGCGATGCAGCCCGCCACCGAACCTTAGCTTGTGTTCAATGTGTCGGCTGCTATGCTTCATGCCCCGTCTCGACGCAATTGTGCTTTGCTGGTTCTTCACGCGGGGCAATGCAATTGGCCTCGCAATGCCTCTGTCACTTGAATAGAGCAGCATGCCTCGGCCGGCGGCAATCACATCAAGGACTCGGCGCGATTCGACGAACAGTCCCAGCGTTAACAAGAAATTCACGCAGAAGCTTCGCTACCTCGGATCTCTCGTCGCGCGCTCCCAACCTTGACCCGCGCGCATCCAGTCTTCCAAGATGTAGCTCAACTTTACTGCACCCAGTCGTCAATGTCCGCGACGCGAGCAGCACGACCACCCACACGGATAGCCCGCCAAAACCTTCAGACAGTCTGGCATATGGATCGCGACCAGCCATTCGAGGTCGTCTTATACAACGAGAACCCAATCCCGGCACCAATATCAATTCAGAAGGAGACGTCTGGCTTCCCGGCAAGTCCGATGTTGAACTCGGCGGAATACCGGAGAACAAGGTTGACCTTTCACTCTGGCTCAGCGTACTTACCGCCGCAAAGAAAAAGCCAGGGAGAGACGGTGTTCTTGCTGTTTGGGAGGCTGTGGAACGACGCAAGTCATGGAGGGACACGACGAGCGAAGAAGCAAAATCATTTTGGAGCATTATTCTGGAAAACGTCCTTCACGACGAGGACAAGCTGAAGGATGTTGTGTTATTCGCAGAGCGTCTCCTTCATGATAATTCTGCCCGATGGCCGTCGTTATACCTGACGACAGTCTCGCACTGTCTCCGGAAGGGCCAGTACCGGCGAGCACTGCAGTGGCACATGCGTCTGATGCCGAACTTTGACCCTGGACAGGAAGCCTTTGGTGCCCTATTACGAGAATTCGCGCGGACCAGCGAAGTCGACATGCAACAGATATTACAAGCTCTTTATCTTACAGCCATACACCGCGGGTTATACAATGAGATCATCCCCCTCCTCTACGAGAGCGGCCTCTCTCAACAATGCGCTGGATGGCGACATGCGTTCATACATCGCAACGATTTACCCCCGCCGAATACCGAGTCACAGCCGTATCTAAGGTTTCTTGCCCGCTACTACCCAACCATCACCCTCGAACTGGAGGAACAGGTTGTCATTGGCTTGAACTCCCAGGCCTACTGGGACGCCCAGGACGAATCATTATGGGATGCCATTCATGACACACATGGCGATGAGAGTGGGCCTCCGGGAAGACAGCACAGTGACAAACTTGGAGCTCGGTGGTTTGCAAGCTCTTGGGTGCCTCTTGACTTTGCAATTCATGCCGTTCACGCCCTTGGGGTGCACCACATTGGCCCTCTGTCACTCCAGTCAATTGCCTTGCGCGAACCGACGGCCAAAGGGGTCTTGGCCCGGATCGAACAGCTACGGACAGTCAATATTGGCATTGGGCATTCAGCCTACGCATGGGTGCTCAAACGATTTGCCGAAAATAATGAGGACGAGCTTCTCGCGGAACTGCTGCACACCGACATACATCCAGACGTCTTCGACGACCCCGCGATGCTTGCCAGCATTCGTGACAAGGCCTTTGATGAGGGAGACTGGAAAACACATCGGTTGTTGCTGTCTGTCCAGCCCGCAATGGTGGAAGACTCGGTCGACTCGACGTCGAACATCTTGTTGCACCATTTTGTCGACGAAGGGAGGTTCAAACAAGCTTTGGCTTTGCTGGATGAAATGCGAACGATGGATATCGAGGTCCATGCATCAACGATACAGCACATCTGTGCGAGTCTTCTCGACCCCTTGCCATGGAACCCAAAGACAACCACACTCAACCAGGAGGCGTTTTCCACAGCCATTGCCTTTCTTACACGCCTGACACTATTGCAGAAGCCTCTACACTCGCGGTACTGGCAGAAGGTACTCTTCGGGCTCGGCAAATTCGGCCGCTTCGACGTGTTGGAGGAAGTCAGCCTTGGCATATTGGACACGTACCGGCATCTTTGCATCTCCAATGCCGGACTACTTCCGGTCCATCCGCTGGATGCACCGCCGTTGGGCGAAGAGAGCTCGGCCAGAAACGTTTTTGTTCCGACAGACTTGCCCATATCCCATGAGCAGCACCCCATGCGCCGAATCTTTGACAACCCTGCTCTACACGCCGCCATTGTCCGTTGGGGATTCAAAGCCGGCGGGTCGCGATGTCTCGATCTTGCGGGGAATTGCCTCTCGGATACGGAGGCTCCAGGCGGCGGGTTCCCTCTCGCCCGAGGTGTGCGATTGCTCGCGGTACTGAATGAGCGAGGCATCCCGTTCCGAACGTCTGTTGTCCAAGACGAGGTTGTCAAATGCCTGGCTCGGACGTACCTCGGCCAAGTCAACAGCGTGCCTAGGGTGCATGCGGGATTGCCCCCGTTGAGTAGCATTCGGGAGCTTTTCAACAAGGCGGCTGGACGCAGGCTGTTGCCAGGGGTCGCAGAACTACAAGACCTCATGACGGAGGCACGGGGAAGGCAAAGGAAAGGATCATGACTGTCGCCGTGGCGAGAGCAGTCCCTCTTGTAACACCATGTAATAAATAACACTCATACCCAAGACACAGCGATGCTGGATGATTTGATTATCATTGCAGGTCGACGATGGATCCCATAATCGCTAGACATTGTTCTAAAATAGGAAAATTCATACATTTAGTTTACACCAACTTCTTCGTCTCTTCATTGAAGTGCCCATTTGGATTTCTTCACTCGTCGTCGCCGCCTCCGCGTTTCTTGGGCTTGATGACCAACAGAATGATCATGCCCGCTATAATGAGGAGGAGAAGCAAGATGATCTTGCGCTTGGTCGTCTTCTTCTGGTACGTGTCGGCGATGACGAGCTCCTTCTCGGCCCCCTTGACGTCGGTGGTCATCCGCTCTACGTTGTAGTCTATCCTGTCCAACATGGTGCCCTGGTCAATGACCATGTTCTGCAGGTCGCGGAATATGTCGGCGAGCTCGATGATGCCCTGCGCAATGTCCTCAATTTCGCGCTCGCGTTGGATGATGGCCGCATCGTTGGACTGCAGGAGCTTTTGCTGCGTTGCTTGGAGCGTCGACTGCGAGAAGGACCTGTCGGCGTCCGACTCGACCATGGACGGGTCGAGGTACGAGTTGGAGGGTTGAGGTGTTGATCCCCTTTCGCCTGGCACGCCTACGCCGCCCGCGCCGAGGCCGCTCATCCCGCGCAGTTCTACATACGTTGTTAGTATACCATTTGCTCCCTCCATATCCCGCGGTACTGACTTTTCAAGTATGCGCTCTGCTTCTTTCTGAACAGCGCGCTTGCTTCCTGCACCCGCGAAGCCAGGGATATCTGGATATTCTTCGCCATAGTCTCCTCCGCGCTGGTGATCGTCCCGGAATGCTTTGAGTCCCTCACCATCTGCTCGACCCGCTGAATGCAGCCATGACAGTCGTGAAATCCCTTTGTGATCTGCTGCGTGAGCCTCTCAATCTCCCGCTCCTCGGCCTTTTTCGCATCCTCATCGTTGAACCCTGGCAGTACGTGTTTCTGGTGTAGGCGCTCAAGGGCCTGGCTCCTGGTAGCTATGTCGGCGAGCAGATCGGTGATCTCGTCGGATATGTCGGCCCAGCGTGGGGGCAGGAGGTCCATCTCTATGACGGCATCGCCATCGTCTTCGAAGGCGCCGGCCGAGAGAAGGCCACGCGTGTCGTCGTTGCCGCTGGCATAGCTGGTGTTCCCCGGGAAGACATCGCCGAAGCCATTCCCACCGGCCGCGCTACCGCTGTACTTTGTCCGTTTTGTCGGGTGGTGCGCGTACGACTGCCGATAGGAAATATAGCTGTAGGCCGGAATGCGTTGTTAGCAAAACAATTGATTGAGCTGATTTCCCGTCTAGCTAGCTGCGGGCACAGTAGCCTAGGTGAAGACGATGCGGGTATTGAAGGGGCGAACAAGGGCGACTCCACGTACAGATTCGTGCGGTCTCGCCACATAGCGGACGCCAGAGTAGGCCGCGATGGCGCTGCTCAGCCTGGTGTCCTTTGTCGCTCGCTGCGCGGGCCGCTCAGGGTCGCCGTCATGAACGAGAGGTCGCAATCACGGAACAGGACACCATTGGCGTTGGGCGAGCACAAAGTTGCGGCGACGTGGATGGTGTGTGGTCGAGGGAGTCTTTTAGGAAATGTACGTCAGATTAGATGATTTAGTTGTGCCAAGGCCGGAACCGGTTTAGCTGTCTAATGCCCGTAAAGATCCCAGGTCCAGCCGGCTTTCAGCTTCGGGTCGCACTTATAATTAGCAGAAGCTGATATGTGGTTGATTTGGGAGATAGCCAGGCCGAGTTCTCAACAAAGGACAAGCACGGACAAGCAGGGAAGCTCTTGGATCACGAGTCAATGGTGATAGGATGAAGAAGTAAAGTAAAGTGAAGTGCGTCGTGGTGGTGGTGGTGGTGGTTGATTATGCTGCCCTGTGTTGAAATGCGCCGACAAGCTTGCATTAACTCGCTGATGAATTGGACAGGTATCGCATGCCAGGATGGGAGCCTCTGGGAATGGGGACGAATTGCGTCAGGTCCACGGGTCTTATTCGGTTGTCTGCGGATTGAGCCGCGTGTGGGCCGCGCCAAATCCTAATGGCTCCGTACCGTCGAGGCAACCTGCCTCTAAGAGGGAACTCTGTAATTAAGGCACCTTTAGGTACCTGAGGTTGGCGACGCGGCACTGCTCGACGTCAATTGGTATGTTGTTCTTCATGCATCCACCGCTTCAGGATGTCTTATGTCAGCTTTTTCTTCCACTCTTTGCTCAATTAATTAAGGTGAAGAGTGGAATGGATGGGAAATAGGTACAAGTGGGCCAGGCAGTGGGCGCGACGGGACGCCTGGACACCTGGCACCTTCCAGACCCTTTCATTTAGGGGCCTTCTCTAAGGTACCTTAGTCTGTATCTTTGGGTGACACCGCCAAGGACACAGCGACCCCTGGCGCCATAGATTGGCCCATCAAGCTGGGAGACGCGGTGCCTTGACACGCTGAGAGATGAAGCTACCGCCTACCGTCCTGGAAAGACGCCCGCTGCCCAGTGGTTAAGGCAACCTATGGCTGCCCCGGTCAGCCACAGACCGAGCAGGCGGCCTGTCAGCTTCGACCCTTCGACGTCCGCGGCCCCCCTCTCGCCCGACGTTCTCCCCCCGTCTGCCCCGTCTCTCCCCACGAGCTGCACACTACAGAAAAGCTCGACCCCCCAAAGGCATCCAGTAGCATCTAATCTGGCCAAGGCTTGCGAACACTTTCGTGAACATCTTCCAACTCCATACCTTACGGCCCCATTCGACGTAGACCGCTTCCAGAACCAGTCCCGTATTCCCACAACAAATCATCGCCAACAATCGCCATGGTCAGTTGCCCAAATTCCGAGCTCCATCCTCTATCCCGCCTTTATGCTACCTCTCGTGAGGTAACCCCGCGACTGAGGGGCTACCGACGCTATTTTCGGCGAGCTGAACTGACACGGCTACCTCCAATCTAGGCTGACTCCCTCACCGAAGAGCAAGTTTCCGAGTTCAAGGAGGCCTTCTCCCTCTTTGTAAGTCCTTCCGAGTCCGTCCCGGACGTCTTTCCGTTTCCTCGAAAGGTGTTTTTGAACGTTAGCTGACCCATCAATACAGGACAAGGACGGCGATGGTCAGTACCTGCTCCCCCCTTTCCCTTTCTCTCGACCCCGCGCTCGTACAATTTCGACTCCCGCGACAGCTCCGATACGAGATAAGCATTGGGACATTATCGAGACTTGATCATGTGGATTTCCAGGGCATGGAGCTAAAGAATACGGACAGGACAAATCACAACCAAGGAGCTCGGCACCGTCATGCGCTCCCTGGGACAGAACCCCTCCGAGTCGGAGCTCCAGGACATGATCAACGAAGTTGACGCCGACAACAACGGAACGATCGACTTCCCTGGTAGGTTTACGCAGCAACCACTGGCAACCATCCACACGGAATCGGCTCGCTGACGAATGACCTGGCAGAGTTTCTCACCATGATGGCCCGCAAGATGAAGGACACCGACTCCGAAGAGGAGATTCGTGAAGCCTTCAAGGTGAGAAGATCTGGCGCAACGCGCATGTAGATAGTGCTAATCAGAGACAGGTCTTTGACCGCGATAACAACGGCTTCATCTCCGCCGCCGAGCTTCGCCACGTCATGACTTCAATCGGCGAGAAGCTCACCGATGATGAGGTTGATGAGATGATTCGCGAGGCTGACCAGGACGGCGATGGACGTATTGACTGTAAGAGGGCGACCTACGTTTTTCCCGCTGCCCGTCGCTCACGTTGCTAACAAACATTTCCAGACAACGAGTTCGTCCAACTCATGATGCAGAAGTAAGGCGTCAAGTTGCTCGAGCGGCTGTAGGTCGAACCCATTCACGGTGACATTGGCCACGCAGCATTTGTTTCTTGCGAGGAACGACACGAACAGGTTTCGCAGGGTCAGGCTGGTCGGAAGGTATCCTTTTAGACCGTGGGAGTTGGCATACGAGAATAACCAGCGAAAGGACGAGTTTGACATTCGGACGGTTGAGGGGGGGCTCTATGCATTCGTCTCGCTGCCAGCACACTTGCCTGTTTCATTCCCGTTCTATCACGATGCTTATTTAACGAACACACTCTCCTACACCTACACCGACACAGACACAAGACTTATTTTGAATGATACGGGAGTTACGCTTAGAAAGGGGGTCTCCTCCAGGGCGGCGAATGCAAAAGTCAATCATCCCGGCGAATTTATCAATTACAACTGCGAAGCTTGATCTTACCTGTGATCTGGCGCAAGGCGCTTGTTTGTCGTCTTGGCTTTTCTACGGCGAGCATCACATGCTGAGATATGGCGCCGATGACTGTTTTTGAGCCTTCATTGGGTGGGCATATTAGTCTGATGCACCCAGGCTGACAATGACTGCGGGCAACAGAAGCATCGTATAAGCCTGTCCATCAAAGTACGGAGTCATAGAGATGGATAGATGATTGCATTGTGCCACACGTATTACCCGTGGCCTGAAATATGGTGAACCAGAGCTAGGCCGGCAGAGCAATCTGGCTTGGCAGGGCTGCAGGCACCGCCCCGATCCACCCCTCTAAATATTCCAATTATGCGTGTATTGAAGTAAACCTGGGACTGCAATCTGTTGTCGTAACCATCACGTTCTTGGAATATCTTGATATAATGCACGTAAGATCGACAACAAGCTCCATGACGCATCGTCAATGGAAGCCCCTGCTTTTAGAAAACTAATATTCAGATTTCAAGTTAGTCTTCCACTTTCCGACGGAGTAGAATGTGAATCGGATGCAGCATGAGAAAGACCAGGTCGGGAGCTTCTCAGGCCTTACAAGACTCGAGAATGTGAGGTTTAACTGGGTGGTGAAGACTAGGTAGGCGCACAAGATCCCACTACCTTCCGGTCCGGTCCCTTAGGACATGGATGGCAGCTACCTAGGTACAGTGTTGATACTACACGGCACGCTGAAGGACCCCTAAAGCCCCCTTATCAAAGGCCTATGGCCCCCCAAGTACCAGATAATTAGTTTGCGCCTGAAATGTAGGGCCAAGTCTACACGTCGGCCCCACACCTGTGACGGCGCTGCACGGTGCACCTCCAATGCCAGGCCACGGATGCATGTCGCTCAACCCGCCGGGCCTGACATCCTTGGCCCCGTCTATCTGGTCTATTCGTCGGTCCTGAGCAAGTCTACCGGAACACGACCCTCAAAGACCTCCTCGACAATCGCGACTCGCCCTTTCGAGAGCTCTCGACGAGCTTGCAACCCCCTCCGTGCAATTTTCTCCTCCAGGCCCCAGCTACCTGTCCAAGGCCCTCCGCGGGCCCATCCCCCCGGTCGCCCAACATGAGTTCTTGTATGATGAAGCCCCTCTGTACCTGTGTCGGTGGCCTGGAGCTGACCTAGGTGATACTCCAGTGAAGCAGTTCATCCGCAACGTTCGCGCTGCCAAGACCATCGCCGACGAACGAGCCGTTATTCAGAAAGAGAGCGCCTCCATCCGAGCAAGCTTCAGAGAAGAGAGCGGCGACCACAGCGTGAGGTGCGCAATAAATTGTGACTCCAAGAGGAATCCCACCACAGATCGGGGCTGACTTCAATCACTAGGCGGAACAATGTTGCCAAGCTCCTATACCTCTTCACCCTCGGTGAGAGAACACATTTTGGTCAGATCGAATGCCTGAAGCTGCTGGCCTCTCCACGATTTGCCGACAAGCGACTGGGCCATCTCGCTACTAGTTTGCTGCTCGACGAAAATCAGGAGGTCTTGACGCTTGTTACAAACTCGCTGCAGAAGTAAGGACCGACAACACACTTTAGCCATTAACACCATAGCTGATATGGAATAGTGACCTCGCCCACTCGAACCAGTATGTCGTCGGTCTGGCCCTTTGCACCTTGGGTAATATCGCCTCCATTGAGATGTCGCGAGACCTGTTCCAGCAAGTCGAGGCCTGCGTCAACACATCGAACCCGTATATTCGAAGGAAGGCGGCTCTCTGTGCCATGCGGATATGTCGCAAGGTCCCAGATTTGAAAGAGCACTTCGTCGACAAGGTCAGCAACCTGCTGGCCGACCGAAACCACGGCGTCCAGCTGTGCGGTCTGACTCTGGCGACCAGCTTCTGCGAGGCCGACGAAGAGGAAGATGCGGATGGTGATGAGGATATTGTCGAGAAGTTTAAGATCTTTGTACCGAACCTGGTCAAGACACTGAAGGCTCTCGCAACCTCTGGATATGCTCCCGAGCATGACGTTACAGGTATTAGCGATCCGTTTGTGCAAGTCAAGATCCTCCGCTTCCTGAGGGCCTTGGCTACGGGCGACGCACATGTCAGTGAGCAGATCAACGATATTCTGGCACAGGTTGCGACGAATACGGACTCCTCAAAGAACGTTGGAAACTCCATCTTGTATGAGGCCGTCCTCACCATCCTCGATATCGAGGCGGATTCTGGTCTTCGCGTGCTCGGTGTCAACATTCTGGGCAAGTTCCTGTCCAATCGCGACAACAACATCCGTTATGTTGCGCTCAACACTCTCATTAAGGTAGTCGCCATCGAGCCAAACGCCGTCCAGAGACACCGCAACACCATTTTGGAGTGCCTGAGAGACCCGGATATCAGCATCAGGAGGCGAGCGCTCGAACTCAGTTTCACACTTATAAACGAGAGCAACGTGCGGGTCCTCATCCGGGAGTTACTTGCATTCTTGGAGGTCGCCGACAACGAGTTTAAGCCTACCATGACCAGTCAAATAGGCATTGCTGCCGACAAATTTGCACCGAACAAGCGTTGGCACGTCGACACAATGTTGCGAGTGTTGACGCTCGCCGGCAATTATGTTAAGGAGCCCATCATGTCATCGTTTATCAGACTGGTGGCCACTACCCCTGAACTGCAGACTTATGCCGTTCAGAAGCTTTACATCAACTTGAAAAAGGATATTACGCAGGAGAGTCTGACACAAGCCGGAGCGTGGTGCATCGGTGAATACGGTGATGCCCTCTTGAGAGGTGGGCAATATGAAGAGGAAGAACTGGTTCGGGAGGTCAAGCAGCACGAACTCATCGACTTGTTCACGACCATCCTCAACAGCAACCACGCGACTCAAGTCTCAACCGAGTACATCGTTACGGCTCTCGTTAAGCTGACGGCGAGATTGTCGGATCCTGCGCAACTCGATCGCATCCGCCGGTTGCTTGAAGTCCACCAGACAAGTCTGGATGTTGAGGTTCAGCAAAGAGCTGTTGAGTACACCAACCTGTTCTCGTACGACCAGATCCGCTCTGGTGTTCTTGAGAAGATGCCGCCGCCCCAAATCAAGGAGGAATCCCGCGTACTGGGCGCCGCGACCACCACAAAGAAGGCCAAGGCCGCCAACAGGAAATCGAGGGTCGTCAAGCCGACCGAGCAGGATCTCCTATTCGACCTCATGGACACCCCTCCAACAACAACACCCGCCGCCGGTGGCGCCTCTAACACTGACCTTCTCGCTGACATTCTGGGCGGTACCTCATCGCCCCCTACATCAACATCTCCTGGCCCGCAACAATCCCAGGCAGCCTCGATCATGGACCTCTTCTCCCAAGGTCCAGCCCAGCCAGTGGGCTCCCCTGCACCAGTTATGGGTGGCTCGAACATGGACCTGATGTCGTCCATGTCCGCCGTGGCAACCCCTCCGCCCCAGGCGCAGGCCGCTCCGCAGGCACCCGCAGGCCTTCCTGTCTACGACAACAACGGTCTCAACGTCAGCTTCCAGATCCAACGCAACGCCGAGGGTCTAGTCCAAGTTATAGGTCGCTTCAGAAACTCAGGCCCCGGTCCTTTGTCAAACGTGGGATTACAGGCAGCCGTTCCCAAGACGCAGAAGCTGCAGCTCATGGCCATTTCGAGCACGGATGTCGGTCCTGGTGCTGAAGCCACCCAGAGAATGATTGTTTCTGGAGCCAAGGGAGTACGTTTCTTCCCCTCTTTCCTCTTGTACCCTTCGTCACATTGCTAACTTTCTCGCAGCCGCTGCGATTACGTCTGAGGATCGGGTACGGGCATTCGTCTGCCGGGGAAGTGATGGACCAGGTGAACTGGACCGAGCCGTCCTGATTTGGCACATGTCTCTTCGGGCGGTGGCGTGGACTTGAACATGGCTTGGGCTTGTATACTTACGATGACAAGGCAAGCGTATTGAAAAATAGAAAGATCTGCGAGGATGAAAGATTGGGCGCAATTAAAAGCACACCGTCGTTGAAATCACTTGCTTCTTACAGGATTCGATCCGTGACGACACATCTAGCTCTAGTGTCGACGTGGCAATTTCCAATCTATGCGTCGTTGTCGTTGTGCTGTAGTGCTTGGCCAAGTGCGGGTCGATGACATGCACACACTTCACCGAGTTCTCCGACCTCGGTGCAGGCATCCATCCATCCCACCTACCTCGATAGCGGAGCCAACAACAATTCAGAAAAACAGATGTATCAACCGCGTACAAGCTCCCTCGCCATCAAATTCAGTCGTTTCCTCGTCCGGCCCCCTCAAGTTCGCGCTTGCACATCTACTTTTCAAAATATGGGCAAGGAGCCGGGTGAAACGTCGACGTCGCATACCGAGCGCACGGCGGCTCAACCCCGGGATTCTGTAGGAAGCCGCCCACCCCAAGCTGTCTTGCCGTAAGCAGTACCTACGTACTCATGAAGGAAGACAGACATTGCATAGCGTCACACTTGTCAGAGTCAATGCCGTGAACGAAGACATCCGTCTCTTTCGGCTTGGGGTAAAGGAGGGGTCAAGGATCGAGGTACGCTCGTCATCCGGATTTGTCTCCCCTCAAAAGACGAGGTTCACAGACGCGACTTACATGGCGCGGACTTTCCCCATTTCTGACCATGGCTCTTCCCGGGTGACCTGGCCTCACATTGCCAAAAGTTTCGATTAGATGTGACTTACTCGTTACGGGAAACAGTTCCTCCCCGGCCAATGGCTCGACACCTACGTCCCCGGCGTGCCCAAGGCAGGCGGCTTCACCCTCACCAGCCCGCCATCCAAGGCCGTCTTGCCGAGATCTGCATACCTCGAGCTCGCGGTGCAGAATTCACCGACGAACCCGGCCGCCGCTTGGCTCTGGGATCAGCCCGTCGACGACGACGACGACGACGACGAGAACGAGGACCGCTCTCTAGTAGAGAGGAAACCAGAGATTCAGGTCCGCGTCGGCGGGTCCTTTGTCTGGCCACCCCCCGGGATCACCGACTTGGCCTCCCTGCGGCGAATCGTCTTTATCGCGGGCGGCGTCGGAGTGAATCCACTGATGAGTATCGTGAGCCACCTGGCGGAAGGGGTAGAGGGGGTGGACGGGGAGAGGAGCAGTTGCCCATACGACGTCCAGTTCATGTACTCAACAAAGGTGCCGCCGTCACCGCCAGACTCTTTTGGCGAGAGCAGCATCCTCGATTCCGAAAAGATCCTCTTCATGGAGCGGCTGGCGGCTATTTTTGGCCGGGAAAAGGTTCGTGGTCAGATGCGGATGTTCTTGACTGGCCTCGGTCCGGGTCCCGCGTCTCCAAGGTCTGAGTCAGTTCTACGTTGCAACGAGATGGACGTCCCGTTTAAGAGGCGTCGCATGGGTTTGGAGGACGTGGCGGAAGCCTTGGGGCCCGAAGCGGAACGCGGCAATGTGTTGGTGTATGTTTGTGGAATCCCGTCCATGACTGATGAGTTGGTCGAGAGCCTCACGTCGAAGAGTGGGTTGAATCTAAGGCCTGAGCGGGTTTTGTGTGAGAGGTGGTGGTGATGTAGAGGCGCAGGGGGTTTGTCTATTTATACCTTACGAGATCGATCAGTTCCTGACCAGTGGGATATAGTTCTGAGGGATGTTGAGGTTCTACTTGTGGCGTGTGAAGTCGGAAATTCTGGCACGAATATTGTGAACAAGTAAGAAATCAACATTCCAAGTACGAACTAATCATAGAGGCTCTTCAAACAACTAGTCGGCAGAGGGCAATGTTACAATAGTTCCCTGCATTTTCTGGTTTGAACGAGCTGATGTTGCACGTACTAGGAGGGAGTCCCTGGTTTTCGTGTTCGCTAACGCCAGTTATTTCGTCACAGCGGCTCTACTTCGACCAGCCTCGCCGACATCTGTCAATATCGCAAGCAACGTTATACCGTCAAGGGAGATTCAACCTAATCAATCCTGCTTAAACACTCCCGTGTTGGTGGCGACTTACTCATCAAGGTATACCCCATGCCAGACGGATTGTATTTAGGGTAAGATGATGCAAAATTTATATATAACTATATATATATATATGTCTCAAGATTACGGCGTTATGAAGCCTCTGGGCTCTACAAAAGCCCGCAACATCACTTTTACAGCGATCCATGGATCTTTAACCTTTCAAATGCACTGATAATTGTTCATTTCCATCTTCCTTCCCTCATTTAGAAAAGCGTTGCATGTTTATCTACTGAAGGTATCTATGCGAGTCTCTTTTGTTTTTGTTCGGTCAGTAGCTTCTAGTACCTTTCTGAAACATGCTGGCTTCTGTACATGATCAGTGAATTGATCACCGAAGTGCTCCATTTCTTTCAGCAAACTTATTCCTACGATCATAATAGTCCTGCAGACAACTCGAAACCGTCTTCTTGAACCCGGAAGTCTCATTGGCCTTCGTTCCTCTCTCGAATATTCCCCTTGTTGAGATTCAATCTGCCATGCCTGCGACGCAAAGGCGATGGACTTCGCTTGAGCCATTCTCCCTCCGAAAAGCTCATATTGTCAAAGTTATCGACAATTGACGTCATGCCAGGGTCAGAGCCGACGCCCCTGGGATCTCGAATAGAATGCCCTGAGAAGTTCAGACTGTTGATGGACGAACCTCTCAGCCGCATGGCATTCGCACGCGCTACGGCAATATACTCCTGCCTCCCAACCCGATTGAGTACTTCCAAGCCACCCGTAGAAGGAGGCGTCATGTCGTAGTCGGATGAAGACGCTGGAAGTGCTCGGGGAGGAGATGGGAGAGGACGTCGAGAATCCGTCTCAGGGAGCTCTTGAGATAGAGAAGGCAGCATTACCTGTCTGGCGACCCCGAGCTCAAACTCGTCGCCACCACTCGACTCGTCAATGTACGGTAAGAGCGATGGCGTGACTGAAGGTGCCCTCGTTGATTCTAATGACTGCCTGCGGATGGATGGCTCAAAATCAGGAAGCATTGGCAGAGGTCGAAGAGGGTCCGAAATCTTCCGAATCTCTCGCGCTAGCTTGCTGGGTTGAGGCATCCTGGTCGAGGGCAGCGCCGGAGGAGCGAGCTTGGGTGGTATTTCAAGGTAGAAGTCTCTCTCGACAGTCGAGCTCTGCCTGTCCCTCGTCTTGTCCCGATTTGTGTTACTGTCCTCAAAGACCAGGCCGTCAAGAGATTCGAGGCCAAATGGTCTCAGATGGGTTCGAGGATAGCTTTCAGTCTCATTGTGATTTGGGGTCTTTGGTCTGTTAGGCAGCTGTCCACTTTGTGTATTTGAAGCCATAAGTTCCTCATAATGCGCCTCAGAGACCAAATTCAATGCCTTCAGGTTTTCCCAAGTGCGGTAGAAGAAGCGGAATGTGGCGAACGGAGAGTCAACAGGGTCGACGAGGACCCAGTCGTAAAATGTGAGATCTTGAGGCGACTCCACGAGGCCGCCGGTTGGTGATCTATATCGTGCATAAACTTAGTCAAAGTGTTTGAGTGGAGGATGAAAAGAGTTCTTACGTGATACCATATTGATCTTGACTGCGAAAGTCATCAAGTTGAGGCGCCCTCTTCCTTCGTCCGTAGGATCGGAAAATCTGCAGGTCGATAAGGCCGCCATCCATGGCAGCGGAGGTTTCGGAGCGCGGCGTGAAGTGAAAGAAACGTTTCTCAATGCCTTCACGCTTATAAGTGACGCCACACTCTCGATAATGCCACTTGGTATCAGGCTCGTACAGAGCATGACTAACGATCTGGCTCTGGGTGGCATGCGACTTGATACCCCAAGAAACTACCTGACGGCCGTTCATGGTCATTCTGAAATACAAGAATTTGCTATCCGTGGGAGGCTTGTTGATTGAGTACCTCAAGTGAAATTGGGATCCTGGGTATCTATGTCAATTCCGACCAACCGCTGTGATATGCAGGGAAAGCAAGCAAGACTAGTGACAAACCTGGCGACGAGGGAATGTAGACGGACGTTGTCGGTCTACACTTCTCTGGCGTTAAAGTGAAGCTGGAAGCCGTGGTCGACATCGGGCTTGTTGCATGAGGACTCCGAAGTCGGACAGAGGAGGACTCAGGGTGAGGGAGCTCGGGCAACCCCTCTAAGTTGGGACCCGGCACGATCGAGATGTCGATGCCCCTGAAACTAGGCATTGTGACTCTGTGGCTGGTGATTGGTGATGCCTTGGCGAACGAGTTCGACGAAGTCTCCCATGGAACCCGTGAAGCTGGCAGAAAAACACTTGAAGTGAAGGAAGGCAACGGCTATCAGTGGCAGCTGTAAGGGTAGTCGAGGGGATGTGGAAGGAGCAAGAATCTGGTCCGGTTGGTGCATCGGGAATATGCCTCTGGAGAAACTGGAAGGTGAAGTAGCAGCGAAGGGCATCGAAATATTGTTCTGGGTGTGAATCATCGACTACTCCGGTCTTTCTTTAGGGCAGGTGCGGCTTCTAATGAATTGAAGACTGCACTTTCCCTTGGTACGTATACATGCTACCTTGCTCCGGCTGACTGCTCCGGCCGCCGTCCCTCGCGAGTTTCGCCAGTGAGGCTAAGCTCAGTAACTGAGCTACGTTGGCAATTGTTTCCCCTTCGTTTACCTACACAGCCTTCTCAGATGGCGTATGGTAAGCCCACTGCTTTGAGATTAGTAACAGCACATCATTACCACCACCACCACCACCACAACCATCCATATGCTGGGTGACTTCAACGCATTTCAATATTCTGATGTAGAAGATGTGTCTCGTCTCAGTTGGGACTGGCACCTCTCTAGATCCCCGAACAGCACGCAAGCGATACATCTCCATGCACTGAAAAGAAAACTGGTGTTGATCATTTGGTGCTTGCAGAAGCTACCTATTCGGTTCGCGCCATGTACATGTTGTTTCGCCCCTCTCAAGCCTGGCTTTAGCTTTATCTCGCTCAACTCGACCCCGTTACAGCCTTCGTGTCGTCCTCCTTGCCGAGTAGTCCCAAGTTGCGTATTTGCCCCGCACTCGGTGCGTTGTCTCGTGCACTGGCCGACTCGGCCTTTCGGTAGGCAGCCTGAAGCGCCCTCGTTCTCGCAGCCTGTGTGTGTTCGTATCACTGGTTAGTGATCGGTCCTCTAGTGGTAGGAATGCCGGGGTTTAGGGATCGAGGGATTGAGGGATTGAGGGGCCTGACAGACCTCCTTCTTATGGTGCAAGCACTCGTAGTAATCCTCCAGAGCCAAACCGCACTTCTTCTTCTCCGAGTGGTCCTCGCCGTTGGTGTTGACGACGTAGCAGCCGAGGAGTTCCTGCCAGTAGGGGAAGCACCGCGATGGGCCTAGCCGGCGTCACAGGATTAGTACGGCATCAATGGCAGCGGGAATGGTAGATTACCTCCGTGAAGTCCGTATCCAGAGGCCATTGTGGATATACAAGCGCCGGTTGGTGGGTGGGTGAAGCTTCAAGTCGTCGGATACTGTCGTGGAGACGCAATCGCGAAGTCGAAAGTCTGGAAGGTGGTTATGCCAATGGAAGAGTCCGCGGCTGTCTGGCAAATATTGTCCTATCAGAAGGTACCTGATTCCAATAGCACTTCCGCCGGGACCGTGAGTTCTCGGGGCTAGCGCGCGTCTATGCCTCCCTGGATCAACCCGCTTGCCAATCGGAGCACCTGGCACTCACTCCACTCAGCACCTCAGGTCAGGTACCTTCGCCTTATGACGAAAGCTAAGTGCATGCACCCTACCTAAGTTCCCAACTGAACACGCTTCGGGGAGTTGGACCTTGATGCCTGTGCCTGTGCCTACTTGCACTTGCGCTTGCACCTGTCGACTTATTCAACACCCCGATATACCGACATCGGTTCGCGATAGTTCCTATGACCAACTGAGTCCAGCACCAGCACCTCGTGGCCAGTTCACAGTAAAAGTTCCCGACGACACACTAGACTGGATATGCCTCGGATCTCCGCAGAATGAGCCTCGTCCTGTCCCCGCCGAAGCTTGTGCTTTTGGCTGTACACTTGGCCATCCACGCCGATATTGAAAGCCTGGCCTTTCTCGCCTCTCGACATGCCACGGTCCTACGCAAGGACCTCGTTCTGCGCGTCCTCTTGACCTATCTGCCCGAGACAGTCAGTTCTAGCGATTACGTTTCCTTTTTGGAGGAGCTTTCGACTGGCGAATTCATCGATCGCGAAGCTGAGAACATCGACTACTCCATCGTCGAGAACTTGTCGGACGAAGATGCTGCGAAAAAGGTTCGCAAACTCCACTTGCTACCGCTAGCTAGGAAGGATATCACGGTCGAGACCGACGACGATCCATTGGCTTTATTCCTCCTCCACCGAGCCCACCGTGTCGACGAAGAGGCCGGCCTGCTCAATCAGCTTCCCGAATTACTCGGCCCTTTCATACAATATGCTCCAGGTATCCGAGTCTGGATGGTCTCAACCTTGTTGCCACTGCTAAGGAGGAATTACGAATACTACCCGACCGAAAGCGTGCCCTATACGTTGGCCGAATTTCAGAGTCTCCCAGATGGCGCCGCCATTGATGCTCTTTTGTCCCAGACGGGCGTGCAGCCGGAGGATTATGGTTTGATTGGGAGAGATCTCAGATGCATGCTTGTCCCTTGGCTACATAACGACGCGCGGTGGAAACGCTTAGAAGAGTCTGAATCGACAGACGAGAGCGTTTATAGTGCTGGATGGGAACGCTTCCTCGAATGGCTTCTTTCCAAGAGCTCGAGCTCCTGGAGAGTGGCTGTTGCTGCCGTTGAGCAATGGGGAGGCGCTGTAGACGTAGATCTGGGAGAGCATGATGTTGTATGGCTCAGTGAGCAGCAGCAGCAGCATCTCGATCGCCGTTATGCACGAGCAATCATGGCGTGCGCTTACCTGGTACCGGAGGCCAGCATAGAAGCGCTCGAAGGAGCTCACCAAATGTTGAGGAAGGTCATGGACCTGCTGGGCCAGGATGATATGATGTCACTAAGTGAGGGCGCAGACACGTTATCTGCTGTTGCGTATCTGGAAGGCGATGGGGTCTTGAACCACAAGAACACTGCCTTCATGCGAGACGACCTGCTCAAGGATTCCAACCCTCTCACCAAGCCGTCGAGAAAGTCAACACACCTTCTCCATGCCCTGATCCTCAGCGCATTTATACTGACGCAATCTGGACTACCCTGCACTATCAAGAGGGCCGGAGACTTGGCGTTCATCCAAGATGAACGAGACCAGAAGGCCGAGGTGATCCAGCTGATACACACATTAGCCGAGAAGGCTCCCCAGAACGACGAAACGTACTGGGTCAAGGCACGAAATGAGGTTCTTTGGCTCCGGAACTGGGGCATTGCGCCTACACCAGAGGGCAAGGTGATGGGAATATTTGCCAGAGTCAAGCCGGAAGTCATCGAGACCGAGATCCTGAGGGCACTCCTGTCTAGTGCGCGTAAGTGTACCATATGCGACTTGTCACTCTGCTTTGCTAACCATGGTCAGGGTATTCGCTCGCAAGGTCCTTATACGAGGATGCCACCGACAAGCCGCTCTCGCCGCAAATAGTGCAGGAGACCATCGTAGCTGCTGCGCTCAACGCGTACGACAGTGCGTCGAATCCGAGTCGCGTGAGGGGCGGTCTCAAGAAATGTGACGAGATGTACGTAGGAAAAGCCATATCACGACGGGTTGTCGCTAATGATTCTTCAGTATCAATGCTTTCCCTCAAACAATTCACAAGTCCCTCCCTGAGCGGCGCCGTATCGACTCCCTGCTAAAAGCAACACATGCCCTTAGCGAATACCGGCTAGTCCTGAGGCAAGGCGAGCCATTCAGTCCTATCGTGTTGCGAGTCCACTCAGATCCCATCTCCATCATTGGTAAAGTTTTAGAGCAGAACCCGAAGAGCTACACTCGGCTTCATGACCTCTTGGATGTGGGAACCAACATGGTTCGCGCCGGACTCGTGGACCGCAACAACACAGCTGCTGCAGCTGCAGCTCAAGCCGAAGACAATGGGCAGCAGGTTGATGCTGCGACGCAACGTATCACAGCCATGTGTATCGAAGCAGCCTTGAAAGAAGACGACTTTGAGACGGCGTATTCATACGTCGTTAACCGCCTCAGCGGCGGGGTGAACGCATCGACGGGCTCCACGGTCAAGGTTGACGACGACTGGTCCTGGAGGGCTGCTCTGCAGGCTGGACAGTACATCAGAAGTGCCCGAACAGTACGACCGACACACCTGGGCAACGCCAGTGGGAATCCCGACATCAGGCACCTAGAACAGCGAATAGACTGTCTCGCGACGGCCCTGCGGATTGCGCCTCCCTCGCAGCTACAGGAGATCCTCAAAACTTTCCGCCGCTGCGAGGAGCAGCTCGACTCGGCTATCAAAGAGGACGCTGCGCGTGAAGAGGACCTGGGTGCTGCTGAGCACTCTGGTATGCCCGGCGGCTTCGACGCAGCCCCTGCGGCGGCACGATCACACCGGTCGTCAGGCGAACGGCAGGCCCGCCCTTCAGCCGCGGTTGCGAGCAAGGCCGGGGACGACGCGCCCATGTCGCTATTCGACCTCTCGCGCGCAACGGCTCGCGCGGCGACTCGCAACTTCACAGCGCTCTCAACGCTACAGCAGTCCGCCGGTGGTGGCGCCGCTGCAGCAGCAGCTGCGGCCCCTGCGCCGGGTTCATCAGGTACGGTGCCTGATGGCGAATGGGACGGGCATGATGACCACCCCAGGGCGAGGAAGCGCGACCAGCTACGCGAGGCGGCAATGGGTACGTTGACGTCAGGCGTTGGTTGGCTTATTGGTGCGCCTGCGCCAGCGCCCAAC